CAGTTCGGGATGATTGCAAAAGAGGGTATTTTCTCAAATTTGGGGGAAAACAATTCCCAGAAAGAGCTATTCAATTCAAATCGAGCGTCAACAGGAAGATTATTATACGTTTTTATATCTGTTATGTCTATTAGACATTCTGTGCATGTAGCGCAGGTTCTGTAGAGCTGCAGCTTTGGACTGTGGCGACGTCATTTCCCCGGTGAGCAGGAAGAACATGCTCATTAAGCGGCAGAAAGGACCTTGGCTTTGGCTGATTATAGCACTTTTTAAACACACTGCCAGAGACAGGACTGTGTTAGAGGTGAGAGATACAGGAGGCCTGGAGGCAGTCAATTCCGCTCCACTGCTCCACGCACCCGCAGGAGAAAGGAAACAAATCTCCTGTCTCCTTAACCCACCTGCAATGAAGCTGATTCCTCCTGTTTCGCCCGTCTTCCTTTGTTCACGATACCTTATGCAGTGTTCCTGACATTTTTAACCGAATGTTAAAAAAGGCCTCTTGTGCAGAATACTGTCATAATGGAGCATGTTTAACGAGACAGTGAGGTCCCAAGCAGACAGCAGACAGGGAGGGAGGGTCCTGCCATGTGATCTATTAGCATGTGTGGTCCACAGAGCAACTCGAAAAGAAGCTTCCCTGATTGCTGATGTCTAGGGTGACCGTCTGACTGTCCATTACATTCCTGTCAGAAGCCGAGGTGGACAGAAGGATGGTTTCACGCAGATGGAAAGTGTAGATCGGCATGCATAATGCAAGACAGGAGCCAAACATACAGGGTTCAGTTGCCTCGACCAGGATTAACTGATAACGCACGATGAATTAATTAGATCTTAATCAGCAAGCACAAGGCCTGCAAGTGTTCCACGCAGGACTTCATTTCATCCCACTTCGAAATATAAGGGCTAAACGTGAAGCAGTAAGTGTACATGAATAGCAGAGGTCAAATGAAATTCTAATTCCACATAATGGAGTATAACCACATTAAATTGTGTACTTCATATTAATATTTTCATACATTACTAGACCTAAGAGTATATTTAACCAATAAAGTACATAACAACCATTTTAGTTGTATTACTACTTCGATCAAATTTACAGGTGACAGGTGCAGAATGTGGGATATATATTCTCTATTAAAGGACTGTCTTGAGACAAGTTCTCTGGAAGCAGAACCTAATTTATTTAACAATCAAATAGAAAAACGCCATACTCCCTCTGCAAATAATTAAGCAAAAACAATAATAACCAAAGTAAACAAGTATATTTTCTGCACTGCGTGTGTCTATCACATTCAGGCCCTGTTTGGATAAATCATGTAATTCTAGATCTTGTATAAGCTCAGTCAAATTAGTATTTTCAGAACAGCTGCTTATCTTTTTCGCAGAATGACAAGGGAAAACGGCGTAAAAAAAACAAGCCAAGCCAGATGAGTCTAAGAGCAGCTTTGGCCTAGTTGTGTGATGGATAACGTGGAGAGGAGGCCAGTCGAGAGAAATCCTTTTAACATAAGGTTTTTTTTTTCCAGATTTAAGATCTGTCCCAAAGACATACAAGACACCATCTCGCAAATTCCAAACCAACACTTGTTAACAGAACTCTTCTTTTATAGCTCATAAATATATCCAGGCAACAAAGTGATTACAGAGACAGAAAAGCCTTTTTCCTGGAGAGTTACAACCTATCATGGAATCACAGGATTCAAGGAACACTAGCTGTATTATTATTGCATGACTGACCTCATTTAGTGGGATTAAGATTTTATGGCTGTTCAGCTCACTCAAGTAAAGATTTATCATCGATAAGCCAACATATTCAGAGTGGTGACACTACCACTTCATACGCAAGTGAAAGACGAGGAACGAGTTTTTACAATCCACCTATTAAACCAGACAAGTGTACAAACTCTTAGAAGCACAGTTTAGTGTGAATAAGCAATATCATGTAATGCTATTTAATCTGCAGAAGGTGCGCAGGCACCTTTAACTAAACCTTTCTCTAACTAATGTTTCCCATCCATGAAGTTTATTTAAAGAGCCTGGATTATTGCCAATGCAGTGCTGAAATCTTTAATCAGTTAATCTAAGGAGCTGGCAGACATTGAACTAAAAGCGCCCCCTTATGGATGCTGGTGCAGTGGTTAGCGCCGTTACCTCATACCTCTGGGATCAGGGTTTGAGTCTCCGCCGTGGCTCCATATGTGGGAAGTTTGCATGTGGTTTTTCCCACCACAGTCCAGAAACATGCTGAGGTTAATTGGAGTTACCAAATTGAGCATGTGTGCCCTGCGATGGGTTGGCGCCCTGTGATGGGTTGGCGCCCTGTGATGGGTTGGCGCCCTGCGATGGGTTGGTGCCCTGCGATGGGTTGGTGCCTTGCGATGGGTTGGTGCGTTGGCGATGGGTTGGTGCCTTGGCGATGGGTTGGTGCCTTGGCGATGGGTTGGTGCCTTGGCGATGGGTTGTTGCCCTGCGATGGGTTGGTGCCCTGCGATGGGTTGGTGTATCACTCCTCATGCCCATAGGCTCTGGCCCCCTGTCGTGACCCTGAACAGGGCAGATGGGTGGGGCCCTTCAGGGCTCCAGCTTCACTTCTCCCAGTACCAGCACTGGTGGTCCTTATTGAACACACTCAATGCAACATATCCATGTGTTTACTGTATTACTGACAAATGCTTTGGTAATATACAATTTACAAGAAGAACACTGCGGTGCTTTGTTTTAAAGGAAAAGGTGAAGTAGTATTATTAGAAAAATCATTATGTCAAATGGTGCTTTTTAAAAGACAGACACCAAAGAAATGTACAAAGGTAAAGATAAGGTGTGGGGTCAGTCGCTCTTCCGTCAGTGCGTCTGTCCCTGCATGGATTATGCTTCATATGAGCGATTAACAGGGCAGGTTCTGTCCTCTTGTCCAGTTTTGTCTCTTTCAACCCGCAGCACAGGAACCGGGACCTACGTGCTAAATAAGCATGCAGGACACAAAAGGCTCGTAGGTGACACTTCACATGCGATTTCTTAGGGAACTACACCACCACCCCAAAGCAACGGAGGATAAACTAGTCGTTTTGTTAATTACGGGGGGGTGGATGTTCTGCTAATAAGCACTGGCGAGTTTCACCGTTGATATCAGCAGTATTAGACGAAGGTATGATGGTTACGATCAAATTTTCCAATGCAGAAATATGGACATACAAGCAAAAACCTATTAATGTACTAAAAGTAATTGTGGTATAAAAATAATTCCATCAGATCAAATGTAAAAATTATACAGATAATTACATTTCAAAGATGTTTATTTCATTACCTTGTAAAGTAGGGAGCTTTAAATGCAATTTATTTCTGTGAAGCATGTAAACTATGAATTGTATGAATAGCAATTGCTAGGAAACACAACTATGTGTATGGTATATGTAAGGTGATGATAAGGGTAAGGACCGCACTCAGCCGGTATACATCTACAAGGAAATAAGGCAGCTACCAGGGTGGGATTATCTATCGCCACTGTAAGAAGGGAGCCAGCGGACCCTGACCAGGGTGTAACTACTGGAGGACATTCATTAGCTGCTATATTGGCAGAATCATGTCAACCTGACATAAAACTGAAAGGCAATAGAGTGTGAAGCTGAGCTCAAAACCACAGCACATGCAGGGCCATGTGGGGCAAATTACCACAACCAACCTCAACCGCAGTGCACAGGGGGACCCAGTGGGACTACAGAGCACAGCCAACCTCAACCGCAGTGCACAGGGGGACCCAGTGGGACTACGGGGCACAGCCAACCTCAGCCGCAGAGCACAAGGGGACGCAGTGGGACTACGGGGCACAGCCAACCTCAGCCGCAGTGCACAGGGGGACCCAGTGGGACTACGGAGCACAGCCAACCTCAGCCGCAGTGCACAAGGGGACGCAGTGGGACTACAGAGCACAGCCAACCTCAACCGCAGTGCACAGGGGGACCCAGTGGGACTACGGAGCACAGCCAACCTCAGCCGCAGTGCACAGGGGGACCCAGTGGGACTACGGAGCACAGCCAACCTCAGCCGCAGTGCACAAGGGGACCCAGTGGGACTACGGAGCACAGCCAAC